CCAGTCAACTGCCCCCTCCTCTGGGGCTCACCACGCCCTCCCTGGGGCTTCTCAGTAGCTGCCCCCTTCTCTGGGGCTTTCACCCCTTCTCTGGGTGCTCTGCCCTCTCTTGGGGCCTTATCTATCAAGCTGCCCTCTCTCTGGGCTTTCGCCCCCTCTCAGGCACTCCTCAATACTGCCTTTGTTCTCTCTGGGCCTCCCCAGTCAACTGCCCCCTCCTCTGGGGCTCACCACGCCCTCCCTGGGGCTTCTCAGTAGCTGCCCCCTTCTCTGGGGCTTTCACCCCTTCTCTGGGTGCTCTGCCCTCTCTTGGGGCCTTATCTATCAAGCTGCCCTCTCTCTGGGCTTTCGCCCCCTCTCAGGCACTCCTCAATACTGCCACCCTCTCTCGGGGCCTTCTCTGTCACATTGCCCCCTCGGGCTCACCATGCCCTCACTGGGCTTCTCAGTAATGTCCCCTTCTCTGGGGCTTCTCAGCTGCCCCTCTCTGGGACTGGGGTCTTTGCACCCCGAATGCTGCGCCCTCACTGGCGCTGGGGTCCTCACACTCCGCTGTGAGTCCCCTATGAGGCCTCCTCCAACCCCTGATAGCCTCTCCCAAACCACCGGTATAACAAACAGCAACATAAACACAAGCCCTCTGGCTATAACTTAAATGGAAGCCGCTTGGCCATAAGAACATTCAAGCCTACCAGGGGATTACTCCACCCCTCAGCAGTGCCAAACGCTGCTCCTGCAGTCAGGCCTCCCCTCTCTTCCATGACAGAGCTCTTTCCTCTTGAGCTGCTGGCAAGGAACTGACTCTGGCCCCAGCCCCTAGGGTTTATAAAGGGAGCCAGGCCCTGCCCCTACTGGCCAGCTGACCTTCTCTGGTTGCCCTGGTAACGCACAGCTGGGCTCCTTATTCCCTGCTAGGGCTTCTTCCCTAGCAGTTTTCCCCTCTTTGGGAGCAGGGCACCTCAGTGCTCTGTGACACACCTCCCCCCTCAAGATCCCGACTCACCGAGGCGGATCTTCATTCTTGTTAGGTGTTGCACCGATCTCGGGTTTTTCTTGGCCTTTCTTCAGGCACCCAGTAACTCAGATATGGAAGGCGGAGGTTTTCAGGTGCCTCCTCCTCGCCTTTTACCCAAGGGTGCACCATGTGGGATTTGTTGGGAATTACCCTGCCACAGGTAGTCCCCCCACATTAGCCATCCCTGGAGAAGGATGGCCCCGGGTCTGGGTATTTCTCCGACCAAGGTGTCAGGCACAGTACTGTAGCCGTTCGGAGTTCGCCTCTTGACCGTCATTCCGACCTCCTTGGCTCATCCTCTACAAGGTTTGATCCTCCTCCTCCTGCCACCTGACCGGCTGGTAGGGATTGATTCAGGTTCTCTCGTGTCAGCCGCCTTAACTGGAAGGTTCTGTGCCTAGGGAAACCGCTCTGTCTCTTAGTAACAGGGTGCCGGTTCTTTATTACCCGCACCCCTCCACTTTTCTCTTTTGGCCGTGGTCTTTCTGTTCCACCTAGCCCTTCCTCTTCCTCATATTGCCTCGAGAAAAAATCCGCGCTTATGTTCTTAGTTCCTGGGTGATGTTTTACCTCAAAGCAATATAGTTGCAGACTAAGGGCCCATCTCATTAGTCTAGCATTGTCTGTCTTCATGCTCTGCAACCAGGGTAGGGGCGCGTGGTCCGTTATCAACGTGAACCTCCGTCCTAACAGATAGTAGCAAAGTGTTTCCACTGCCCACTTAATTGCCAAACACTCCTTTTCTATCATGGCGTAATTCCGCTCAGGCGGGTGTAACTTCCTACTTATATATGCTGTAGGGTGCTCTTCTTCCCCCTGTACCTGGATCAACCCCACTCCAATTGCTGCTTTTGACGCATCAGTCTGCACCAGGAAGGGTTTATTAAAGTGTGGGGCATACAGCAGGGGTTGCAGGCACAGTGCTTCCTTCACCACCTGGAATGTCTTTTCCGCCTCTGGCGTCCATCTCACTTTGGCAGGAGCCCCTGCTTTCGTTATTTCTGTCAATGGTACCACTAAATCTGCAAAGTGGGGTACAAACCTTCTATAATAGTTGGCTAGCCCCCAAAAAGCCCTCACTTGTTTTTTAGATTGGGGAATTTGGTACTTCCGCAAGGCCTCCACCTTACTTAATAACGGCCTCACTTTTCCACTTCCTACTAGGAACCCCAGGTATTGAGTCTCTTTTTTCCCTATGGTACACTTTTTTGGATTGGCTGTCAGCCCAGCCCATCTCATGTCTTGTACTACTGCCCTTAGCACTTTGTGGTGTTCGGCCCAGTCTTCAGTATATATAATAATATCATTTATGTATGCTGCAGCATAACCCATGTGGGGGGCCAAAACTTTGTCCATTAGACGCTGAAACGTAGCTGCGGCTCCATGTAGTCCGAAGGGCATGTGTCGGAAGTGGAAGAGACCCCACGGGGTAGCGAATGCTGTTTTCTCTTGGTCTTCAGGTGCTACTGGCACCTGCCAATAGCCTTTCGTCAGGTCTAAGGTGGAGATGTAGCGAGCTTGTCCAATGTTTTCTATCCGTTCATCTACCCTTGGCATTGGGTAGGCATCGAACTTCGCTACTGCATTTACCTTCCAGAAATCGACATGTAGACAAATTTTTCCATCAGGCTTAGGTACCGCCACTATGGGACTCTGCCAGTGGCTGTGGGACCTGCGTATGATGCCTTTCTCTAGCATCATCTCAATTTTTGTTTTTATCGGACAGATTCTGTAGTAGATGGGGAATCCGTCTTCAACTCTCCCGGATCACCTGGCCTGGAGGAGTTTTTATCCGGTGTACTGCACCCTGAGCTTCCCCAGGCTTTTCCTGAAACATGTCTCCAAATTCCCTGACTAGTTTGGCTGCCTGTCTCCTCTGGTCTTCCGTTAGTCGCGTGGCCAATTCCATGTTACCCGGTCCGCTTCCCTCTATCAAAGAGGGTCCTAATTCTAGTTCGTCAGGATGGGAAGCCAGGTACATACATTCTCGGTCTTCCCACTTCTTCAGCAGATTGATGTGGTATACCTGCTTCTTCTTTTGTTTGTCTGTCTGATACACCTCATAATCCAAGGGCCCCACTTGGCGTATAACTCCATAGGGTCCCTGCCACCGGGCAAGCAACTTACTCCCCTGGTCCGGTAATAGAACCAACACGCGGTCCCCCCTCAACCTCAAACTTCCTTTCCTGGGTACCCCGGTTGTAATATCTCACTTGACGTTGCTGGGCCTCTCTGAGCTTTCCTACGACCTTACTCTGAGCAGCTTCAAGGCGCTCCCGCAGTTGTAACACATACTGGATCAAATTCTGGTCTTTACCTTGTTGTTTGTCAGTTGTACCAGTGGGATGCAGGTGGGGTGGTGAGGACTGATCCAGTGAGGCATGTCTGGAGGACTGACCAGGCCCATGTCATGGAATGCTTGATGTCCACATATGACATGGTGTGAATGTGCATTTGTTCAAAATAGTACTTGAAGGTACCTGGACACATGCAGGGAGTCTGCTCCTATGCGCTGCAATTACAGAGCATTGAAGCAGAGTCAATTAATCAAGTTGGCTGGCACGCTTCATCCAGCCTCTGCATCTCATGTATCAGCATCCCTGTGCTTCAAAATGGTGGCGCCAGCCAGCCTCCCCATTTCGTGTATTGGCATTTTCATGCTTTAAAATGGTGGTGGGGGCGCTTTAACTAAAGCTTGTTTATCGAGCTTTATAGTGCCCTGCCACCATTTTGAAGTGCGGGGACAGTGATGCACGAAACGCTGCAGGTGCTTTAATTAGAGTGACTCTCAGAACCACTCTAATTAAAGTGCCCACTGCTGGAGCATGTGTAAAAGTGCCATGATTTTCCAGGTAGGTTTTTTTAACCGTTTGAGGCAGCTTTGAAACAGTTTAATAATGTTGAACGTCTGTCTGATTGACTCTTCCTTCATGCTGCGTTTTTGTTAAATAAATAATCTTTCCCCCAGGCCACTCTAGACTGTTGTAATTCCTTCCTTACTGTCCTCCACAAGACCCATTTCACCTTCTTCCTTGAGTCTATATACACTTTCACTATTAAGGTTCAGTTTCTTTTGTGTATAGATTTTGACTGTGTAAAGCAGGGGTGTTGCATTTACCTGGCCTTGCAGGCCTCATGAGCGGCAGTGGGCCTATGGACTCCCTCCCCTCCCTTTCTTCTCTCCTGGCACACCTGATTTGATGGCCACTCCAGCTGGTCTGGGACTGGCACTGCATGCAATGCAGATCCTGGTGTGCCACAATGGGCACTGTGTGGCACAATCTGACCAGAGGTGCAGCCACACTGCATGCAATGGTTGCCCCTGCTGTACCGTGCCACAATTGGCTCCTGCCCCAACAGCTACTTGGACTGTACTGCAGTTGGTATCCATCCCAGCAGCTTTGGGACTGCACCTTGCATGGCACCCACTTCAGCCAGTCTGAGACCCACAGTGCACAAAGTGCCTGCCAGTGCTGTGTGCATTGTGGATCCCAGACTTGCTGGAGTGGGGGCTGCATGTGGTATAGTCCAGCTGGGGCGGCCACTATGTGTGGCTCGGCTGGTGGTGCAGCTGAGCTGCAATGCACACGGTGCCTGCCCCAAGCAGCTCCAGGATACGCACTGCATGTGGCACCGGTCCCAGACCTGCTGGAGTGGCTGATGGATTAGGTATGCTAGAGGGAGAGGACGGGGTCTGTGGGCCAGATCCCGTCTGCGGACTGGCCCCGTGCTGTGCCCTGTTTGGGCTCGATTCTGCTAAGGGGTAGCACTGGGGCTGGATGGCAGGGCTCCATGGGCCGTATGTTTTACATCCCTGGTGTAAAGTAACCCTGACTCTGTCCCCCACCCCCCATGCTTTCCCTTCTCCTCCTTACTATCAGGCTTAAGCTTAAGTTCATCTTCAAAATCCAACGTGAGCTAGTCCTCTGTCTCTTATGGTATTAGTGCTTTGCTCATAAAAGAAACAAATGGATCAGGTGACTGATTTACTTTCATTATTTTTAAGAAGGAAATGCGTGTCCATTAGAGGCAGAGGGAAAAGAAACAGGAACTAATTAATGCCAGGGGATTGGTGTGGGGGCGGGGAACAGAGGAAGCGTGTGTTCTACAGGTATTTGGCTCTAATTTTTTAAATAGTAAAATGTAATTTAAGATATTATAATCTATTATTATTATTTTTTTCTGACTTATAGGGTGCATATTTAAGTATAGGGCTGATTTCTTCTTCTTGTAAAGCTCCTAAATACGCTTTGGATACCTCCACACCTCAAATAATGTTAATTGAAATCTACTGACTAATTCTAAATTTTATGAAAATTAGCAGTACCATATGTATAGTAATCTGAGTAAAGCATCAAAGGTATTTAAATGCACAAATAACTGCAGATACTAAATATGTATTTGTATTTCTTTGCTTTTCTTTGGTATAAAGCATGCCATTTCCTTCCAAAACTTGAACATTATGGTGAAGAAAAGATACTGCCATGAACAGTGCAACTCTTTTTTTTGGGTAAGTAATTTAAAAAAAAATTTTAGTATCCATCATATTATGCATGCAAGAGGCATGACTCTAGTTGAGGGAGTTGCAAGTCACAAATTCTTAATGCTTTGTTTGCTTCAAATTAGAAGCAAATCGTATTTTATTAGGAAATTTTGCAGTAGTGTGCTTATAACCTAAAGGAAGAGACTTTAAAAGGAGTGCTTGGTGTCTTAGTTATGGATAATACTGCTGTAGTTAAATAGATGTCTAAGCCTGTAACAGGAATCTTATGAAGGTACAAGTTTTAGTTTCTGTAAATAACAAGAGCAAGTAGCAAGGGCTGGCTAGAATTGCTTGTGCAATGGCATAAGGGGCAAGTCTGTGAATTCCCAAATGGTTTATGTATTTTCAAATATTTTTCTTGTTACTGTTGTATATAGCTTTTGTATGTGTTTTATGTATATTAAGAAATATTTGCTTATTAGAAAAATTTATATTTTGGAAAGGGATTCAGTATTTGTTTTGTTCCCTCAAATATTTTTAAATAGTTGCGTGGGCCTTTATTTCTGTCTGTTTTTCTGCATGTAATCTTTAATAATTTTGTGAACACTGTTTAGCCTATTTCTTTAAATAAAATTAAAAATTACATTATCCAAAACACTGGATTGTGTAAACATGCCTAATGTTTCTCCAGTAGATTTACTTTTGAATATAAAGTAACTTCTCCCTGGTAATCTGTCTGCCAGATTAGCTGTAAAATAACATCTGATGGCATTGTGAAGTGGTTCTAGACCTTCCTGTCACCATATTTTCTCATATGCAACACACATACCTTGTTCCCAAAAACCAGCTGCTAGAAGCTGGAGTGTGCATTCTATGCAAGAAATGTGGTAAGAGCGGT